AAAAAAAAAAAAAAGAGATGGTGTTGTAAATGCATGAGTTGGTGGATGACCACCATACCTCTTAGTATTCCACCGTTGGATTTTATGTAACATATGCACTAAGTATTTGTAATTAGTGCTTGTAACTTATAGGTATATTGTAAATGGTGGTATTCAATTTCCTATCTTGTAAGCCTATAAATAGGTGGTTTTACCAAAGATTAAGGGATGAATAAACATGGTGGCACTTTATCCTTAGCATATCATTTCTCTCTATATTTTCTCCATTTAGTTCTTTTTCTTGCCAAAAGAGAAGAGGCTGACGAGAGAAATAGAGAACAATGGAGAAGAAGGGTTGACAGAAAAGAAAAAAGGAGAAGAAAAAAAATGAGAGAAAAAGAAAAAGGAGAAAAGGGGCCTTTTGTCCTTCTCAAGTTTTTTTTAATAATTGTATATTACTATTAGGATTATAAAAAAAAAATTATAAATGTATTGTAAAACAACATATATATTAATTTCAATATCATGCCCTTTTCAGTCATTATACATATTAAAAGCACTTCTGATAAAAATTTACCAAACACTTTGACTACTCACAGCAGTTTTTCAAATACAATTTACCAAACGCCTAGTTGCTTTTTTTCACAGCTGATTATTTTTGCAGCACAACAAAAGCAGTTTTTTTTTTTAAAAGCACAACAATGCCAAACTAGCTCTAAGAATGATTGACGCATAAGAAGTCCAAGTTTAGCTACCTTGAAAAACACATCAATCTCTACGGAAGAAACTGATAATGCTTGATTTCACTAATCTCTATAAAAAGAAATTGATTTGGCTACTAGTCAAATTGGATCTTTTATAAGGCTTGACATGTTAAGCACTTTATTATTAGCATAGTTCATTCTTTCGTGTCTAATCAGGAGCCTTTGAATGACCTTAGGCCTAGTTTGGGATTGCTGCCGCTTTAAAAAAAAGCTGCTTCTGCTGTGCTTTAAAAAGAATCAACTGTAAAGTAAAGCAGTTAAACGTTTAGTAAACTGTAATTTTAAAAGTGCTGTGAGTATGAAAAGTAGTGTCAGAGCGTTTGGTAAATTTTACCGTAAAAGTGCTGTAACTATTTATAATGACTAAAATGGACATGATGCTGAAAGTGCTTTTCACTAATCTGTTTGGTAAAAAATAAAACTGTAAAGTGCTTTTATACTTTTCTCCTTAAAAATTACATTAATCTTTGCTTAAAGAAAAGAAAAATGCAAATTGAATAAATTCCAACAAAGATAATTATGTGTTGAATAAATTCCAATAAAGATAAAGAGATCACCACGGTAGTAGGTTCATACACCATCCTTCATATTGAATAAGTAATAAATATTTTTTTTTTGACAAATCCTTTGTCCTAATAAGGTTTGAATTCCAGCAATAAAAAAAAACATTGAAACTAGGCTTAAATAAATGGAAATAAAGAAACTGTCTAAGAAGATGCATGCATTAAACTTGCAGCAATCTTGTTCCTTAATCTTTCTAGTTCTTGTGCTCCAGGCCCTTGAGTCATATGATATTCTTCTTGTGGATCACCCTCCATCTCCATTGCATTTGGGTTGTCATTCACTTTGTCAAAATGAATATCACGTTGGGCATGCCTCCTTATATAGTTGTGAAGTGCCATAGTTGCAATTACTATCTTCACTTGCTTATCGAATGGATAGCTTGGCATGTCTCGTAAAATACTCCACTTTTTCTTCCATACACCAAAAGTGCATTCAATAACACTCCTAAGGGAAGAGTGTGCGTGATTAAATACTTCTCTAGAACCTATTGGTTGAGTACCCCTACGAAAATCTGGAAGATGATACCTTTCACCTTTATATGGTCCCAAATACCCGCTCATTTGTGGGTAACCCGCATCCACAAGATAATATTTTC